TTCTACCACAGTGTTTGCTTCCGAACATGAAGAGTTACTGATTAAATCACCCTCCCCGTTGAACGCTTTTGCTGCGGGAAGTATTTTACTTAAAAAAATCATGAACTTATTGTTTTAACGTGGAAAAAACTAGATGCTTGAGAAAAGGTCATTGATTGAATCATTTTTTCGTGCTTAGGAATAATAATATGTCTCGTCATCTTAATTTCAGAGTTTAGCTCGAATGGGCAAAATATTTATTTTATTTCAAATGGCGGGCTTTATGACACTTATCATTAGCCCTTTAGCTGACTTCGGGCTTCACAGAGAGGAGGTTCATCAAAGTAGCAGAAAGTCGAGGGGTGGGGAAGAGAAGTGCGATTCACAGATGTAAAAGAGGCAGACAGACACAAAGGTAGAGAAAAAGGTAAGGTGAGTACAATGGAAGGGGTCGAATATGACAACCAGGGGGGTCGTGGTAGTTTGAAGCCAGAAGTCAACTGCCGGTTAATAGACTTTTTTGCCGTATGGGTATACGTTGCCCAGGGTGCACCACGTGGAGGTAAGTCTATCGCACACCCCATGGGCAAAATATTAACACATTTTAAGGGTCCTTTTTCATCTCTTTGCTTTTGTTTCGTCTTTGTATAATCTTGAGCAATCGTTCGTTAAATTGGTTGTAAAGGGAGTTAGAAATCCTCTTTCGTCCAATTTCTCATTGTTTTATGTCTTATAAAAGACCAGGATAGTTGAAACGTCACTTGGTGAGTGAGTGAGTGAGTAAGTGAATAAAATTGCGGCATTTATTCTTCTAGCTGAACAGAGAAGAGAGGTTTGTTCCGAATCCCATGGGCCAGCCATCATTCCTATCCTTCACTCTCTTCTATGCCATCCTTTTGTAATACGAGGGCATGCACGAGTAAATAACTTTTATTTTCGATTGGAAATGGATGATTATTCTGCATTTCTTTATCTCACGTTCTAGGCCTTGAACAACGCTACAGATGATGAGTTAATCGATCTGGCTGCCATCCTCGGTTTCACAGGCATGATGAATCAGGTCCAATTCCACGCTAGTATCGAGAATCGTGGACAAGTCGGTGGTGGTTTTAGAGGAATAGCCAAGGGTGAACAACTCAAACTCGTCCCCGACGATCCTCCCAATATGACTGATGTCGAGGCAAGTCGTTACTACTCTTATGCTGCTTTAAGTAGACTCCAGATATGTGTGTTTTAAGTTCAATATCTTTTGCTTATAGGACAGTATTAAGAAAATGAGCTCTGATGATGCTTCTTTGACTGTATTGAACTTGAATAACATCAAAACAATGAGCGCAGAAGTTGTATCTCGACTTTGTACCGCTCTAGGAGAAAATTCGAAGTTAAAAGAGCTTCACATGGCTGCTACGAACCTCACTTCGGCCATGGTAGAACCAATGCTTCTTGCACTGAAGGTCAACCATACACTAGAAGTGCTTAATTTGGAGTCAAATTTCATTACTGGTGATATGATCCTAAAGCTTCTGGATGCAATTTCGGGAAACAAGAGTGCAGTGACGGATTTGCGTCTTTCTAATCAACGTCAAAGTGTACTAGGAGTACAAATGGAACAGGAGATTACTCAGATGGTGCTCCAGAACCCTCGACTCAATAATCTTGGTCTGGACTTTTCTACCCCCACGGCTCGTATTCAAATCCGTGAACATTTGAAAAAGAATGTGGATGCCAATAAACGCCTTGCAAGAATCAACAAGAGCGGTTAAAATGCCCTCTAGATGGCTGGTCAAATTATTTCTTAACCCTTTTCCCTTTTGCAATCCTACTCATTGCTTCTTCTTTTTTGAGTTCTCTTCCTTTTGCTCCTCCTCCAACTTCTATGATTATACTACTCTCAACCTCCCTCTCCCATGATCTATCGTGTATTTCTTCCTCAATTTCGATCGTGCGCTTGTAATATTCTTATTAAAGCTAGTGATGTAGACTTGTGGTTCTGCCTATGTGCTATAAGAACTTTTAAAACAAGTCTTATTAAATGTCGAGTGTGTAATAAGTTGTAATTGTAAGCTAACGTGGAATACTGCTGTGTCAGTGGTCACCTGATCGATGCAGATGGCCAGTTGCCTTGTTTTATTATAGACAATTACGCAGGTGGTAGAATGCATGCTGCTCTTGAGAATTACTTCCCCCTAACCTAAATTTAGTGCTTGTAACACTCCTTTTAATGGGCTTGGAATTCTCTTTCTATGTGTGTAAGGTTAGACTTCGATGCTCATTAAATGACTTAAAAGTTGGCCAAAAGAGGAATGGCAGTGCGATTTCCTCCTCAGCAGAAGTCGGGAATGCTGATTCCTGCCAAGAATTAATCTTTTCAGCAAACTTTGGAGCTATCTCACTACGCTCACTGTTCCTGTAATATCACCCTGTCAATGAGTAACGAGTTTTTCGATATCTTCGATCGTGTGGGTACGAAGCGCAAGGTAATTTGTTGGCTGACGCTGTTTGATTAAATTGAATACTATTAAGTGATAAGTTATGTTAATATGAATTAAAATTCTTCATTTTATTTTATTGAAAACAGATTTATTAATAAGGTACCGGTACATAGTTAGCTGATTGCCTCACTTGTGTTCGGGGTTTTACAGTACCATGTTGTTAGTAAATACATGATAAAGGGTTTGCCAATTTAACAAATTCTCCCATGCTTTGTTGTGTCTGAATCTTTAGTCATGATTTTAAAGCAGAAATTAAATTTTGGTTCCTAGCACAGTTTCCATCCATGTTTGCGCGCATGAATGTAGTCTATTTCGATTGGTCAGATTGTGGTCTCTGCGTTCCCACGTGATGACTTCGATTGGCCAAGTGCCGGCCAAATATGTCAACAAAACACTACTTACTTAGATTCCCTATTTAAGCTTCAGTTTGGGACATTTTAGTCACATTAGTGAATCCCTGCCTTTTTGACCGCTTATAGAAACGCGGTTCATACATTTCAACGCCCATATGATCAATTTTAGTATCCTAAAGGACGCTTATGCTGATCCATAAATCTGCAGTGGCCTGATTGTCAGGTGATGTTTTTATGCTTTTTTCATCAAGTGAACGGCGGGCATAAAAATAATCAACCCACCCTCTCAGCTTCGTTCCAACCCTTTTCACTTCTCATCTTATTCCTGCCTCTTGTCCAAAACCCCATCACTATGCTCAGCTCCACGGTCTTCTGCTTTTTCTTATTGGCAGTTAGAACAATAGTTTTGAAGTGGCATACCCCTAGACCAGGCTTCTTTACTCATCGTAATACCTCGGAGTTAATCTCTTTCATATATTTACTCAAAAAGTCTCATCTGGGCTATGTTCTTAGGTTAGTGAGACATCCCACTCCTGACTGCCTTATTTTATTAGTTTTGGATCTTAGCATAGATCAAAATATGCAGCATTTTATGAGAGCTTTTACCGCTCTATCGAATTATCTCTCACTCATAGAAAGCAACCTGAGGGGTCCTTCAACAAATACTCCCCCACCCGAGCCAAGCACTAACGCGGCATCACTAAAGACCAAAGTTCTGCAAAGCACCAACGGATATCGAAATCATGACCTCTGACTCCATAGACAACCATTTTAGCCGATATGCCAACATAGCTCATAATATTTCAATAGGGGTCTTTCAAGCCTTCCAGGACTATAGTAAAGAGTTTTGCATAACAGAAAATAGTAAAATACGTGGACTTGGAATGTGATTTGGATGTCTAAGGAAACTGCTAATTGGAACTGAACAGACAAATAGAATTGAAGTGTCATTAATTGGAACGCACCTTTTCTACCACAGTGTTTGCTTCCGAACATTCGAGGGTTGTTATGAAGAGTTACTGATTAAATCACCCTCCCCGCTGAATGCTTCTTAAAGGGATCTGCATTGATTCTGTGATGATAAATCATCATACCCATAATCGATCAGTTCTTCCAGACAAAAATTGATCATCTTCTTTTAATTTGTACTTTAAAGAAGAGACTAACGCAAAAAGATATTAATGTTGTTTTAATAAGTAATAACAATGATACTCCCTTCTTACGCAGCGGTAGAAAGTTCTTGCTTGTATCTTGCTTTAAAAGACTCCCTTATTTTTAAAATAAAAACAAACCGTTTTATCAAGAAGAAAAGAAGTGATTTTTTCAATTTGATGTTTAGATACATGAAAATGGAAAGTGTAACTCAATTCATGCAGCTATAACTTGTATACATAAATATATGTGGAGTTGGTAAGTGAAATTCACACTTATATTGAATTTTGTAGCTAATTATAGCAGAGCCCTAAAATCTATGCGTCTGGAAAGTAAGTGAGATAGCTTGAGGAAAAGCGTCAAAGTTGACGGTTTCGCTCAAAGTAAAAGAAGGAGAAAATCACAACACTTCATTCAGCGGAATATAAATTTACGTAATATAGGAAAAGATCAAGATCTATTAAACGACGAATTTTGTGAGGAGAAAACAGTGTAAGCAAGGAATGTGTATATGAGTAGGTGAGTGAGTGTGTGTGCTTCGGAGAGACTCAAATGCTGATTGGCTGATCTAATCCAACCCGGAGAAGGGGACGATTTCAGCAACCACAACCACTGTTCTGACCTTCGGTTTGTTCTGTCAGACGTTTCGCTAAAATTAAAACACAAATATACTGTACTTATAAATAGTAAGTAGTGCAAAAGACTAAAAAACTCCCAAATCTAGATTAGTTGTTAGTGAGTGTGAAGTTTGTAGCGTTAAGAGAAGGACAATATCCGCTTTCAACAATAACAATCCAGTTTAATAAAATCTACATGTCTTAAATAGCTTCCTAGAGTCCAACTGACGCAAGATTCTCCTGACTCCATTGTCCCCACTTCTACCAGGATATTTTCTTTTTTTCCAAAAAATTTGAACTATCTACCCAACTTCTCTGCGTTTCACCATGATCAAGACATCTAAATAATAATGCATGGAGAATTAAGAATGTTGAGAAGGAAATTCTTTGGAGATACTGAACAATGATCCACTGGGCCTTTCCTAAGTATTTGAAATACGCAAGTGATTTGAATGAATTTAATTCAGTGAGGATATAGAAAAGCACCCTAATTGACTTTTCTTAAAATACCCAAGTTCGCAAGACAAGTACATGAAGGGATGATAGGTTACTCGGTTAGTAACTAATAATAACGAGCTTAGTAAAAATAAAGGAATAAAAAGTGCCTTCATTCCCTGCGTGTTGGCAACGCTTTGCGCGAAAGATAAGCAATAAAGAAAAGAGATTTTGTGTTCCTTTTTAATTTCAATTAATTCTCAAGGGGAAGAGATGGAAAATTTAATCCCAAAAATAAAATATTGTCTCCAAATAAAATTTTCCACATGGCCGCCAATTTTGATAAATAAATTGCTACCCATATAAATATTTATTTATATCAAATGACAGGCGTTTTGATGGTTATCAATTAGCCCTTTAGTTGACTTCAGGCTTCACAGAGGGGAAGGAACATCAAATTGAAAAAAAGTCGAGAGGGGGGGGGGAAGAGAAGAGTGTTTCAAAGATGTAAGAGACAAACACAAAGGTAGAAAAAAGGTGAGGTGAGTACTGTGAAATAGTCGAATATGGCCTAGAGTGAGGTGATGATAGTTTGAAGTGAGAAATCAACTGCCCATTGATAGACTTTTTGCCGTATGAGAATACGTTGCCCAGGGTCCACGACGTGGAGGTAAGTCTATCGCACACCACCCCCATATAAATATAGTGTAGCTTTAATCCAACCCATGGAAATATTACTTACAAAAGCCACACTAATACCCGAATCGAGGAGCACGCTTTCGTTAGCAATTAAGTATACAAAATTCATAAGTGGAAACGCTTTGCAATTCTCCTATCAATTGTTTCTTTTTAAAACAAAGCTCAAATTAAACTTAACGTTGTCACCCTATTTCATGCCAAAAGTTGGAAAGAACAAAGCGGTGTCTAAAGAAAACCTCGATTTCAGGCAAAATTATGCACAAGCATGAACAATAATGACGAAGACAGCACTTGAAACAAAATATCCCTGTTCACCACCTCACGGTGAAATATACAGAGATGAGGCAGAGATATTATTAAAGTATCTCTATTCCTAGGTAAATTAACAGGAGACGCAATGCCCCTTTTCGAAGGCTTTCTGAAACTGTCATTTGGGGGGGGGGTTACCTTCACAACACAAAAAATTGCGATAAAAATGAAAAAATCATTTTCTAAATTAATAACCTAAATAGATATGTCCAAGGATTAATAGAACATGGGTAATTGGTATACGTTTGGCGTGAGCTGAGCCATCGGAGTACATCTATGCCAGTTGAACATGGCTGAAGACCATGATACAAACTCCTGAATCTTAAATGGGCTTTGAGTTATAAGATCGATCAATTTGTTCACTACTTCGGATGTATTTTGAGACATGATGAAAAGCAGAGTCATCATTGTTGATTTGGATTAATTATTTTGAACCCAGAGTAAACCGTGCTACTGCAAATCCAATGAATTCATCACCGTACATGCTCCATCCTCCACACAGAAGGGCATGTAATCTCTATCGGCCATGATCTCGCAGAACTCACACTGACTCATTGGTTCGCCCATTTCAACAATTACATATTAGTTCACACAGGAGAAGACAAACAGTCTCTCAAAAAGTATTTTTTTCACAATCAGAGTAGCACACAGTCAGAACTAAAGATTTCCCCTTTCTTCCAAAGTTGGCTTCCCACTGCTTCCTCCA